ACGCATGATAGCAGAGTTTGGGTCTCCCACTTTCTTTCTCACTTTTAGCTGTGCAGAATACACCTCTGAAGACATTAGAGAGTACTTGCACAAGGTAAACACTGTCCCACCGTCATATAACACTGGCAAACTCTGCACAGAAGATCCCGTGTCTGTATTAAGACAGTTTTCTCTAAAGTTTAACGAAATGTTTAATAAAGTATTAATCAAGGGACAGGTTTTGGGCCCGGTTAGCTAGTTTTATTACAAGAAAGAGTACCAGGCTGGAGGAGCTCCTCACTATCACTGTTTAATCTGGAAAGCCAATGCTCCAGTTGTCGGCGAGAGTAGAGCCGAAGATGTCGCCAGATTTATAGACGAAAGAGTAACTTGTAACATACCAAATAAAGATACCTGTCCACAGTTACACGAAATTGTTATGAGGTACCAGTTACACAAGTGCAGCAATTACTGTAAGAAAAAGAGAAAGTTTAGCAAAAATGTATTTGTTACAAAGTGCAAATTTGGATTTCCTCGCCCAGTTTCCGAAGAAACTGTACTGAAAAATGTCCAACAAAGCATGAAAGCAGAGACAAGGATATATCACCTGAAACGGAGCGAGGAAGAAGTGAGAGTCAATGATTACAATCCTCTGCTTCTATTATTATGGAAGGCTAATATCGATGTATCCTTTACCAGTGAGTGTTCTCTTGCTCTGGCCGATTATGTGAGTGGCTACGTGACAAAGGCAGAAAGAGGTCACATGCAGGATCTGTGGCAAGACATCTTAGATGATAGAGGCATCTACAGTAAATTGTTTAGAATCGGCATAAGATGTCTCGACAGCCGACCCATTGGACTATACGACACGTGATATATTACTCGGTGAGCCACTTTGTAGAAAATCAAGAGAGGTATCATGGATCGATGTAGAAATGCCACATAAAAGAAAACGAAATTTAACAAAGAAACTCAGTGAAGTTGAAGAAATAGCAGCAAACGATCCATCAACTGAAGACTTTCATGGGGAGGGCCTTGTCACTCACTTTTATCCAAACAGAGCCCAAGAACATGAAGAATATTGCCTTTATGACTTTGTAGCCAAACTCACTTACGAGGGCAAAGATAAAAATGGCAAACGAATCTATAGACCACTACAGAAAGAGCGCCTTCCTAACTTTATTGATTTCGATGTCTATAAAGAAAATCAGAGAGACAGTTTCTATTATGCCATCATTCTCCTTTTCGTGCCGTTTAGAAATGAGGATGAATTAGTTCATGATGGTGAAACTGTCCAAGAAGCATTCGATCGCCACATTGTCGACCACGAAAGGTGTGTCGAAGCAAATGAGAAATTCAGAAAGTTGCTCGAATGTAGAGAGAAATTAAAAGACATACAAGATGCCAGAGCAGCAGAGAGGAGGAAAATGATGTGGAAGACCGCGATCCACAACTGATGGGACAGATTAAAGATGCAATGAATGACGTGAGAGACATGGACACTGGATCTGGTCTCACTCTGCAAGAGAGAGAATCGATGCTAAATGTAGACCAAAAACGCATCTTTGAT